CAACACTATGTTGCATAGCCTAGAATAGCATACACTTAACAGTGTTTATCATTTGCCAAGCATGGTTTTAAATGTAAACAGAAATATACGTGTGTATATATTACTTCATTTAATCCCCACAACAGCCCTGTAAAGTAGAAATAAATTTTTATTGTCCCCATTTTGCAGATGAAAACACTGAGGCCCAGAGAGGTTAAATAACTTAGCCAAGATTACAGAGCTAGTAAATATTGAAGCCAAAAAGAACCCAAATAATCTTGAGCCAGAGGCCATGCTCTTAATTCAGAAGAGTTTTGGTTTATATGCTAAAGGGTTCATTTGAAATGCAGACAAAAAATTTATACAAAAACATGTTACTGTGGTATTACAGAATGTAGAAAAACCTGGAAACCTAAATGCCCAACAACAGAAGAATGGTTAAATAAATCATGATAAAGTTATTCCCTTACAATGAATTATCCTGCCATTAAAAATATTTATGAAAAGGGGCACCTGGGTGGCTCAGTTGGTTAAGCGACTCCCTTTGGCTCAGGTCATGATCTCAGGGTCCTGGGATCGAGCCCCACATCGGGCTCCCTGCTCAGCAGGAAGCCTGCTTCTCCCTTTCCCACTCCCCCTGCTTGCGTTCCCTCTCTTGCTGTCTCTCTCTCTCTGTCAAATAAATAAATAAAATCTTTTTTTAAAAAAAAATTTATGAAAAATGTTTCATGACTTGGACCAATGCTCACAATGTAATGATGGGGGGAGGGGAGAGACAAGATACAAAGTTGTACATATATTATGATTCCAAATTATGTAAAAAACAAACTCAGACACAAGGTGGAAGGACTTACTCTCAAATAAGAAACAATGGTTGTTTCCGGATGGTGGGATCAGGGGTGTTTATTTTTTCTTTTAGTGTTTTCCACAATGAACATGCATTATCCTACTACTATCAGTTTAAACAAAGGCAACTTTTTTTCTTTTAATCACGCTACACCAAGATCTTCAAGCAGTTGGTAAAAATAGCTAAAAAGCTTCTAATCTAACTTCAAGTAGTTACTTTCCTCGGGATAATACCCTTTGAACATCAAACAACATAGTCAGCACATACCAAAAAGAATGCTCATTTTCAACTTTGGAAACTGAATTAAAATATGAGCATTTTCAATTCTGATCAATAATTATTTACAAGAAAAGAAATGGATTTAACTATTTAGAGGCCAAAAACTAAGGAAGTGCTTTGCTGAAATAGATAATAAGGAACAAAAGTTTGACTGGAGGAGGAAGAACAGCTGGTGCTAATCCAACTATTTACCCTTTGACCCTCTATCTGGCCAATAACTGAACAGTATCAATTGTTTTCCTGTATTATGTGCTGTTTACAATCCCTGAGAGGCATGAAAGGAATTAATAATTTAGCCTAGGAAGCTGACAGCCTTTATTGGGGAGCTCCTTGTCTGTGGGACAGAAATCAGAGCAAGTATCTGTCCTAAAGTCATATGTCCCTTTACTGTTCCTGTTTTATAGCCTAATTGGCCCCCAAACATAAATCAATTATTTCTCCTGTTTTAAGCAACAATGACTTCTATTCTCTAACTTCCCTTGTATCAAGTCAGTCCTTGTTCTCTTGAGTTTTACAACTACACGGTAAACACGATGGTTGAGGAAAAAACTCGGGGAGCAGGGTGGACTGGGGTTATTTGGAAACAGAAGCACAGAAAGGTTATGCTGTTTTGAACTTTTCTTGACCTTTGACTGCCCTTGTCCCTAGTTTATGCTAATGGGCAGGGTACAGAGATGCTTCTTGTAGAAATGAACTTAGCCTGAACCTGTGCCATAACATTGGACTCCAGGAAGCCCAGGAATCATAAGAAGGCAGCCAGAGTGTGAACAGCTGCCCATATTCTAAGCATGGCTATCCATCTGCTCTATCACAGAAAAGGCTGGGGGGGAAAAAAGCCATTTGAATAGGACAAAAATCAAATTTTTTCCTCATCTAAAGACCGAGAATTTCAACACTATGTTGCATAGCCTAGAATAGCATACACTTAACAGTGTTTATCATTTGCCAAGCATGGTTTTAAATGTAAACAGAAATATACGTGTGTATATATTACTTCATTTAATCCCCACAACAGCCCTGTAAAGTAGAAATAAATTTTTATTGTCCCCATTTTGCAGATGAAAACACTGAGGCCCAGAGAGGTTAAATAACTTAGCCAAGATTACAGAGCTAGTAAATATTGAAGCCAAAAAGAACCCAAATAATCTTGAGCCAGAGGCCATGCTCTTAATTCAGAAGAGTTTTGGTTTATATGCTAAAGGGTTCATTTGAAATGCAGACAAAAAATTTATACAAAAACATGTTACTGTGGTATTACAGAATGTAGAAAAACCTGGAAACCTAAATGCCCAACAACAGAAGAATGGTTAAATAAATCATGATAAAGTTATTCCCTTACAATGAATTATCCTGCCATTAAAAATATTTATGAAAAGGGGCACCTGGGTGGCTCAGTTGGTTAAGCGACTCCCTTTGGCTCAGGTCATGATCTCAGGGTCCTGGGATCGAGCCCCACATCGGGCTCCCTGCTCAGCAGGAAGCCT